GGGGAACCATGCGGAAGCGCTGCCTAGCGACTTGTGCAGGAGGTCTGCAGATGAGCCCGGAGGACGCAGTGGGCTAGAGAGAGAGGAAGTTAGTATAGCGCTAGGGTTAGATGCAGTGACAGCTGCCATAGCTGTAATTAGCAGTGAGTGGGTGTGTAAGTGTTGGAGTGTTAGAGGGATGCGTGTGGGATATCCAGGGTGATCCAGTGTATGTGAACAGTGAGTTGTTTGGGCGCTGAAGTTGCCATAACTGATTGAGAGTGAACTCATATCTGAAGCCATATCTCTGAGTCTTGTGTGGGCGCATGTCGCCAGTATGCTGCGTTGCTGTTTACATGCATGAAAAGTGTGTTTGAAAACGAGTATGATTGCAGTAGTCCAAAATAGGCCTACGTCGGGCCTGCCTTCACTTAGGGCGGCCGACCTTGCTGGTAACAGGGCCCAGTAGGGCTCACCGAGGCCTTGTGCCGCACACTACATTCAGGCCCTGGACAATTAATACCTACTGGGAAGCAACCAGACCCTTCCAGGCCCAACCAACTTGCTGGAGAACCCTCACCATCATCTAGCAAATTCTAGTTACGTCCCTGGCCTCTACACTACCGTCAATATGTCCCTGCTGCCAACTTCCCGTTCTGTCCCTGTCCGTACCCTCATTACTACTTTTTACCTGTCCGAAGAAGTGTGGAGGTTTGCACGACTTCGAACAATTTCAGCATCCACCATTAACTCAAAGTTGCAACTTATATTTTAAATTTTAATGCAAATTGCAATTGATAGAAATTTAGAAAACTTCACACCAAATTCGTATCAGAGATTCGCACTGCCACACTTGAGGAAGACGAGAGAAAAAAAAAACGTGTCCACTTGGGCACCTGGCTGCCGTGAGCAGTCTGCCTGCAGCAATTGGTGCTTGAAATGGTCTAGTGAATTGCCGGTTATAATCACCATTGGTTCTCTCCTCAGGGCATACTCACACTAGCACTTTCCTGAATGTATCTGAATGCAATCGCGACAAGCCCTGGATGAATATGACCACAATCACGTTCTCTCCTCCTTCATGCGCAAAAATTAGTGCTTCTTATTCCTCCCAACTTTGAAAACTACGAAAATGACAACTACCTTCTTCCCCCGAATACAACGTATGGTCATTGTAGCTGTATGTAGACTGAAAGATGCCTCAAATACAGCTATGATGACCGTACGTTGTATTCGGGGGAAGAAGGTAGCGTGAAGTGCGCAACTACCCCGCTGCTTTTGTCAAATCGATTCTTGCCAAAGTAGAGCCTGCTAGGGCCCACTGGACTCTGAGCTAGAAGAAGATTCTACAAACATGAAAAACAACAGAGACAGAAACAGCCTATATTATATACATATACCATGGTGGGACGATGAGTCAGGTCATTTTCGACGTGAATGAATTTTTGCGAGCGTTGTCGAATCATACTTTATTCTGGATTATTGACCGACTCTCATGTGACGCCTGTCGGGACAGAGA